TCCTCCTCCTCCTCCTCCTCGCCTCCGCCCCCTCCTCCGCGGCCGGACCGGGGCCCTTGACGTGTCCCGCCGCCGATTGGCCGCCGGCCGATAGGATCTCCGCGGCCCCGCGTTAAGGCGGGGGAGCGCGCGGCGCCGGGTGCAGAGCGCCTCCCTTCCTGCCCGGTAACCCCGCTCCGCTACCGCTACCGCCACCGCCGAGCCGAGCCGAGCCGAGCCGAGCCGAGCCGAGCCGCTTCTCCGCCGGGTGGCCATGGAGTACACGCCGCCCCCCAAGCCGCAGCTCTCCTCCCGGGCCAACGCCTTCTCCATCGCCGCCCTGATGTCGAGCGGCAGCTCCAAGGACAAGGAGTCCCCCGAGAGCACCATCAAGCCGCTGGGTGAGTTGGGGATGGGGGCGACCGCCGGTGTCGGTGGATGGCGGAGGGCTCACCCTCCTCCGAGCTCCGGCAGCCGGGTCAGGCAGCGGCGGGTTCCTCCCCTTGCCCACAGGTTTCCCCTGCAGAAGGAAAAAAAACAAAAACAAAAAAACAAAAAAACAAAACCAAAAAACCCCAAACCAAAAAAAAACCAAAACCGCACGGCGAAAACCAGTTAACTCTCCTCGTTACCCACCGTCGTTTTCAGGCGAGGCCGTTTATGACTTAAACCATTTTCTAAATTCCTCCGGCTTAAATGACGCCGTTTATTTATCCAGCTTCGCCATTCGTAGCATAACCTCACACCCTAAGCTAGTTACGTTTCTCTTCGCTGGTGTGAAATGAACCTCTCCGGTGTTTCTTGCAAATCACCTACATTTTTGAAGTCAAATAAGAGAATCTTATTCTGGCTTACCAGGAGTAGTAAAACTTGTACGTAGACCTAAAAATCCCTTGGCTCCACAGCTACTCGATGTAGGCTCGTATAGACTGTTTTTCACTCGACACCGACCGGGGGATTTTTGTAGTAATTCCTGGCGATTTTCGGGTAAGCGATTTCGCTTCTATTCAGTCGCCTCGATTCAGGTTCGCGAAGACTTTTTAAAAAAACCTCTTCCCCCGCCCAATTTCTGCGGCTTGTGGTCCTTGCATGTACCCAAGAGCTCGCGGAGAACTAAAATAATAATAATGTATTCAGTTTTCAGGGCGCCGATGAACAAGATTATATTCAAGCGTATAAGAATTTAGAAAAGGCAGCGCTCTCAGCGTCTGCTCCATCAAATCAACTGACTCGATAGATTTCACATAGTCCAGGGATTCATTGTAAACTTTATTTTTCAGTCTAGACGATCAAGTAGGCCGGGAATGTTGCACTATTCCGGTTTGACACATTTACACGGTCTTATGTTAAACGCAGCTAGTTTTCCTTTTCTTTTTTTTTTTCTGAAAACGCTCGTTCGATTAATTTAACTTTTTTTTTCCCCCAACTCATCCCCCCACGCCGTTCAATTAGAAATCGAAGGGAAACGACTGCCTGTAACTCGGCTTTTATTAACCAGAGATGCGGGCGCAATCTTTCTCCGCAGGGGCAGGGCGCGCTCGCCCACCCCCCGTTCGCTGGCGCCGGGCGGCGGATCCATCGCCGCATCCCGGTATCGTAGCGCGGGGCTGGGGTAGAGCCCCCCCCCCGCCCTCCCCGCAGCCCTGCTCCCTCCCGTCTTCCGGCTGAAATTCCCAGAGAAGCCGCTGAAGCCCCCAAAGCCTCCCGAGGTTTGCGGGGAGCGGGGGTTGGCGGGTAATGGGGAAGCGCCGGCGGTAGCTACTGCACCCGCGCAAGTTTGGGTGGCCGCCGGCAGCTTCCCCCGGAGCCTGGTTCTCCAACGGAGCGTGTTCGGCCTCAGCAAACCAGCTGGGAGAGAGGGCAGAGCCGGCTTTGCGGGCGAATGAACCCGCACCCGCCGTGGAATTACTTATTAGGAACTCCCGTCCCCGCGGAGGAAGCACGGAGCCTGCGCGGCCGCGCTCGGGCTCCTTCTGCGTTACGCTCTCTGCCAGCGGCAAGATTTAGGAGCAGCCGCCCGTTGTCCCCCAGCGTGAGCCCGGCCCTCCTCAGCTCCCCCCGCCCCGGAGCCGAGCGCTCCCGTTTCAATGAGAAATAGTGACCTTTCCATGGAAGACCCTCGGTTAACGGGGGGGTGGGGGGCAGCGCGTAGGGTCCGCCTTGCCCCTCCGCGCCCTGCGGAGCGGAGGAATAGCCGGGCGACGATGTGGCCAGGGCCGCGCTGCTCCTCGCCAGCCCCCCTCCAAGCATCTCTCCCCGGGGAGAGGGGCCGCTCCGGGCTCATCTGCCAGAATCACCACCCTCGCCCTCAAATGATGAGCTGACGCCTAAGAAAGAGCGCGGATCTGCGGGTGTGCTGGGTCGGGGGGGGGGGGGGGGGGGGGGGGGGGGCAGA